GCACAAGCAGTCATATATTGCCTCCAGAGCTGGTCATAGGTGCCGCCTGTGCGTAGTTCCATACCATCGGCTTAATGGCTACGAAGAGCTGTTAATCAAGCTAATGCAGACGTCTTAGTTCGTAACGTCAATAGGGGTGATGCATCCGGAACCAGGAAATCTAACCCGGTACAATTTTAGCACAAGTAACAAATAAGATAATAATGCCCCGTAAAAAATTAGATGTTTACAAAACAAAAAACCTTTGCTTGATATATAATTGCGGAGTACTAAAGGAAAGCACAGCACATAATACACACTGCCCTTGAGAAGCCTAGCAGTAGGCAAAATTAAACTAGTTCATGTACCTTAATTTCGATCACTAAAACGATTTGGTCAAATGGGCTCCCCGTGGATGCCCGAATACGTCAGCTTTCCACTCTAGTTAGCACCCTCTAGTCTGTACAGTTTTTAAAACGCAGATATTTTACCGGTTAACGTACTTGCCTAATACAGACCATTCGACAAAAAAATTTCCATACATTAGTGTCAAACAATTTAAATAACTAATACACAAAATCATACGTCGATCATAATCAGGCCTCGTTAAAGGAAAATTTATTTTTTGTGTAAAATTTGAAAATGTATAGTGTTGAATAACTGAAAAGAAGCCACTAATCACGCGTTAGTTGCAAATTAGACCGAAAACACAATAAAGGTTCATTGTAAGAAGCAATGAGCAGGCAGTAATTTGTCAAATTGCATTTTGAATAACTTCAGTTGGGAGCCAATTTGGACAGACCAACACCACAGTCAGATAGGGGCGTAGTGAGTTTTCCCGGTTTTTAATCAGCGATTAGGAATAAATGGGATTGTGTCAATAGACCTCTGGTCACAGCTGCAGTGCACATAGGCAAAAGGAATTGCAATGACAGAACTAACCGTCTTTAATGCCCAAGGGCTGTAAAGGGTAGCAGTTGCGTATCTCTGGTTTTACTGACGCTTTGCTGAGGAAATGACGCACAGAACTTCAGCATTGAGAGCCTATGTCTGTCTGTTTCCAAACTACGGAACTGGGAAAAGGCAGCACTTGTTCCACTTCTTGACTTGTCTCTGACAAAATGCTTCCTCCTTTCTGGTTGAACTTCGTCGCCTGGTCGTCGCACCAACAAAGACGTAGATTGACGACATTTGCTGACGTCAACCTATTCAAGAGCACTGAAGAAATATTCTACAAAATATAGCATAAAAGGAGCTTAAGTACGTGCAAAATTATCGAGAAACTGAATGGAAACCAAACCGAATTATAGTCTACGCACTCGTGGTAATATTGACAATTGCATTCAAAGGTGGGCATCGCAAATTTGCTTCTTTCTATTCAGAACGTTGCCGAGATGCTTGACACAGATTGCTAATTACATAAAACAATACACAGGAAATTTACATGAGATCAGATTTTTACCGGTTCAGCATATGCTCAGATTTAAAATCGTAGTACTGCGAAAAGAGAGCAATTCAGATTACAGGAAGTCTAAACAGTTACCAGTCAGACAGGAACGAGCATTGGACATTTATTGATCGTTTTTTGTTATGAGGTCTTCTGCGCTGAACGTGGTTAAACTAGGAATGATTAAGCAAAGAACTAGGTATCAGACGACATCTAGCTGTCTAATTCCACTTAAATTAGCCTCAGAAGAATCGGGTTTGTGGTCAAGTTAAAAACATTGTCCATAACGTTACAAAGACATTTCAAATAGTTCGATTTAACCACATTTATTTTACAAATGCAAAAGCGCTGCGGACGTTTGAAGATACACCGACATTATCAGCATAGACATCGCAACAAAATGCGCGTGCATGCGGCGTCGTCCGCAGAATTGAGATGCGACAGTCCAAGGAATCCACCCATTAACTCTCTTCATTGCGAGCACATTGACATCATCTTACTGCATTTCTATAGTATTGGCACTTCAAATTAGCCTAAATCAACCGATCGTAAGCCCACTGGCCACTCCACTCGAGCAAACACAGGCTTTGCACAAGACATGCTTTTTAGTGTGCACTAAAAGACCTCAAAAACTAATGTAGCCAAGGAGCATAAACACAGTAGTGAAATAACATTACTTCCAAAAAATGCTTGAATTGGAATCGCCCAAGATTTGACAAAAATAGAATATATTTTAAATGAGGTGTCTTTAAATACATAACAACTTAAAGGTATTGTGTTTTTTCGTTTTCTGATCTTACAGTTTGAAATGCTTCACTCTTGATTAGAAACAAAGCAGTACCGGATTTAGAAGTATCCAATTACAGCGCGTTTAGGTATGAGGTCGAACAAATATATTTTTTTAACTTAAACAAACATCTGACTAAATTTTAATGCTGCAATTTTATAAATGTCTAACGACACGATATTAGCTGTTTATTATATCATCTTACAAAAAATGACTTTATTTAGCTTCGAGTTTGCCATTTTTCTGTCAGCTTTCCTCTATCATTTTGAATGGAGATCGGGGCTTCGTTAAGCAGCCATCTGCACAAAAAAGTGAAGTCTGTTGTAAAATCATAAGCAATAATCAACCATTAGACAAGGCACTACAGAATTAAAGTTGACATTGTCCAACTGCTGAAAAACGCAGTTATTTCGAATCCTAATGTTTTCGGTAACATAAAGGTACGCAAGGTTTACTGAGAACTACGAACTTTCTTGTTTATTGGTCTCTATGATGTGGAAAGTGCAGCAAAAAAGGAATTAGTGATCATGGGGTCATGTGAATTCAAAATGTGCTGCTGTCATTTACAAACGCATCGAGACCCTACGAAATTCTCCTAATGACATAAATTTGCAGCTCATGCATAGTGATGCCTTTTCAATGTATGCCACTGATTGTTACCAAATTATAATTTACAAACTACAAATTGGCGTCCGTGTACATGAAAATCGTCTGCTCATCGCTATTTAGCGCATATGTCCATTAGGGTAGAGTGATAGCCATTTTTGCTAAACTATTCGGCTGTGTTCAATGAATTTTTATTCTAGATTGTTTGTTTTTGCAAAAACATCTAGCTGTAGTAAAAGAGTCAGCTATGGTTACTGCAACAAATTGCGTTGAAGGAAAAACACTTTCCAAGCCGTGTTTGTTGTCTGTCTGGTAACATTGAGCAAAAAGTGACAAGCCAGCTGCACTATTTGATGCATTAATACTGGTTATCCCTTACTTTGATGTCTGCGCAGACTGTTTACTCTTTACTTAAATGCCGTCAATGCTGGTCCCGATACTATGTCTCCATCAAATTCGAATTTTTTGAAGCAATCGCTTATTTTAGTGAGCTAATATGTTACTACCTGTTTCACATGAAAAACCTTTTTAATGACAAGAAAACTTGAAAAGAAACCTCTACAAAGCAATCAATTGCACCTACAGAGTTTTCAAAATAGTAATAACCAGTCTTATATTGGATGTCATTGTAAATAAACACTGTGTGGTATCGAGTGT